TTTTTTTTTTAACAAAAACAATTTGATTTTTTGAAGTCGCCTCCTACTTGGGAGACCTTTTGATAATTTTTCACATATATAGCCCCCTTTACGTGGTTATCCGAAACACCCCGGCCTGGATACCGGCGTGAATAAGTGGGGCCACTTAGTCATCACTTTTTTAGACACTCCACTTTTCAATTTTAATACGACACAACACAAAACGGAGCCCCACGATAGCACATGGCATCCGCGTACCTTCTTTGTGGACGGACGTTATCAGCACATCCGTCCCCTACCACGGCCACCACGGAACTCCCTCTCTTCATGTTATTCAAGAAACACTTTATTGTGAGATTCTCGCTAAACAGTTTTACAAAATTTGCCATACCTTCTTCACTCATATCTACACTGACTAAAATCTACATATCCAATGATTCATGTATATTTTCACAATTTGAAGTAGGTACTCAAATTTCGAGTACCCCTGTTTTACCTACCCAAATAATGGTTCAAAATTGTATCTGTGTTTGTGAATAAATGAATTATCATTAACATAAAAAAAGAAGGAAGGTGCAGAATCACTTTTGAATGGATATGTGATCAATGAAATCATCTGAGTATATGTATGCATGTAACAAGACTTTATTTAGTTCCACAACAAATAGTATACTTCAGAAATATTATTTGACCAGTAATCTGGGATTCACCGAAAGGAAACGAAATGAATTTTCCATTAATATAATTTATTGGATGTCAAACAATAATAAATCACATGAAATTTATAAAGCTGAAAAATCATATTCTTCAGTATGAATTCGTTCGTGAACTTTCAAAGTGTCACTTCGACTGAAACATTTTAAACATATACCGCACTGAAAAGGTTTCTCTCCAGTATGACACCTTTCGTGATTTTTCAGATGGTGCTTCAGGGTGAAAGATTTGGAACATATTGGACACTGGAATGGCTTCTCTCCAGTATGACTCCTTCCGTGCATTCTCAAAGTAGTAGAATGAGTGAAAGATTTGAAACAAATTTGACACTGAAACGGTTGTTCTCCAGTATGAATCCGTTCATGCTCTTTCAAATTATTGCTGTGACTGAAGGATTTCAAACATGTTCCACATTGAAAAGGTTTTTCTCCAGAATGGCATCTTTCGTGAACTCTCAAATTTTCTTTGTGAGTGAAAGACTTCAAGCAGAATTCGCACTTGAATGGCTTTTCTCCGGAATGACTCCTTTCGTGACCTTTCAGAGTCTTCTTTTGTGTGAAAGATTTGAAACAAATTGGACACTGAAATGGCTTCTCTCCAGTATGAGTCCTTTCATGATTTTTCAAAGTATTAGCTTGACTGAAAGATTTGAAACAGATTCTACATTGAAACGGTTGTTCTCCAGTATGAATCCGTTCGTGAACTTCCAAATTTTGGCGGCGACTGAAGAATTTCAAACATGTTCCACACTGAAAAGGTGTTTCTCCAGAATGACATCTTTCGTGAACTTTCAAATTGTCTCTTCGGATGAAAGATTTTGAACANGCTTGGGACCACTCGATGTTGGGTTGATGGGTCCAAACATGGTCTGCTATTCCTGATTTGCTGGTTTCTCCTCGCTGTGTGTGTTTTAATTGTTTCAGGGATTTCAAATCATTTTATATAGTAGACAATGGAAGTCCGAACTAGTGAAATTCATCACGAAACATTGTCAATCACCTTCAAACAAATTTGTTGTACACGTATGAATTCATACTGTTTCATATTGTTTCCTCAATGAAATTATCTTGTAGTGAAAATTAATGGAAATAGATATTTAACCAACACATGTTAAAAACGCATGTGGTTGTTTCCGAAACTAAATTTCATTTTAATTATTTGATCGACTGAATAATTCAAAATATATATGGAAGGTGAAAAAAAAATAGAATTGAATTAACTACTTTTATTGGTAAGTAACGTTAACTCATGTTAATCTACAAAATAACTACTTTTATGATTTTCCAAATAACCAGATTCAAAGAAAACGACAACTAAGGCTGTTTCTTTTGATGTCTCACACTGATTATTTTCATTGAAGTATGAAATCAGAGCTCAATGATTTATTGGAATATACTGAAAAATTCAATGCTATGGTAGGAACATCATATTTCAGAATATTTTAATGTGTGATCAGTTTCTGCACATTAGTTAGTATGTGTGTTATTTTCTTCGTTTTGATATAGACTTCTCTTCTATTCGAACGAGTAACCAATTTGAACTTCCTTTCTTATTATCCGAAGCCCAAATAATTGAATAAATTATATAGTGTGATATATTGTATGTGCCAAACTGAACATTTTATAGATTTGTGCATATTGCCCTTTGCACAAATGACTTTAATACAGAGTGCGTCAATATATTGCACTGGTTCCAAAACTACGCCCAGAAAATATATTTGCGTTTTCATAGTACGAAAACGATTCGGGAGAGCTGTTGTATAACGAAACATACGTTGCGATTTTGTGGATTGTCGAGTTAAAATGTTATAGTAATAATAATGAGTTATCAATTTCTCCTACTTTCTATTGCGAAATCAAATGAAAGTTCAAAAAGTATTTTTTATATCATGTAATAATGTACGTAAATTCTGAACGATGGGATGAAAAATTGAAAGACCTTTCATGAGGTTTCACTTGGATATTATGAAATTTTCAACAACAAGTTCAAAGTATTACCTTGAGTGGAAGATTTGAAACAAATTCGACACTGAAACGGTTGTTCTCCAGTATGAGTTCGTTCATGAACTTCCAAATATCCCTGCGACTGAAGAATTTCAAACATGTTCCACACTGAAAAGGTTTTTTTTCAATTCATATGAAATTGAATTGAGTAGGTACTTTCCAAAATCAATTACCGTGACGTGATGACTCATCATCTCATTATCTTAATATATAATTTCTGAAAAATATCAAAAGTGCAGGTATTGAATGAATTGCACTATTGATGACTATTGAGATAACACATTTTCTCATATATTTTTCATTTAATCAATAATCATATTTTTATATACACATAAACATTCACAGCTTCGATTGATTGATTCTCATCTGAGATATCGTCATATGAGTAGAATAATTGAATTAAAACATTTCAAAGAAAAATGATACGGTGTGAGAATTCATTCTTTGTAAGGAATTTTTAACGAAGGAACAAGTGAAAAATAATTTGACATACATATTTCAGAATACTAGGAAAACAATGAAATATGACTTCCACCCTCGAAGTTAACGCCCATACTATTGTTGATGTTTGCATCAGTAACAGACTGAACGCCTGTTACTTGTTACTTCAAGTTCCACTTCACCTAGACCTTTCAGCCTAGATATTGGTCTCTGTAATTGTAACTCCTGTCATGAAAGCCTATGATCTTCCATTAGAACTATTCATTTCCCATTCTCACACTGATACTAACGGATGAGTCTGTTGTAGTCCTCCTCAACCATCAGAATAGAAAGATAATCTAGCCAGCTGGTAACTCATCAAGACTTTTTGACAAGTGAAAAATCGCTCATTCCTCTGTGTACAGAGCTAGGCTGGATTCAACCAGTTTGAATTTTTATACCATGACCCCCGAAGAAGAAGTCAGCAGCCTTATTGCCTACCAGGCTAGTATAGCCAGAAATCCTATCCAAAGACAATCTTTTGAGTGTTCCTATCGATCAGAGTCATTTTTGGCAATTTGCTACCAATTGAAACGTTGCTCGGTATGAGCCAAGAGCCTTAAACGCCGCTTGACTGTCCGAGAATATTTTTATTGATTCGTATGAGGTTGGTTTCTTCCAATCTCTCTGCACACAATTCAATAGCGTAAATTTCCACTTGAAATACAGTCGCAGTTTCCTAGGCAGGTTGATATCTCGGTCCTGGTTCTGCGATAAAAACACCTGCAACAGAACCTGAAGGTGTTTTTGATTCATCTGTTAATCAACAACTATCTGCTGTTTATATTTTCTTCTTCCGGAGGATCCAGTCCTCTCTACTCGGAAACAGTACTTTATGAGGTAGGTCGTAGTTGACAGTTGGAGGTATCAAGTCAGAGGTCATTCCCAGAATGGTGTGACTTCCAGTGTTAACCAGCAATCTGTTGCAGCAATCTGACATTGGTCGATGATTATGACAGTACGGCCGAAGCCCGAAATCAACAAAGTGAATGGTAACCTAAGGGGGAGTGCTAATGTCACGAATAGAAATTACTTTGATGCATGGTATGTATTTTATTATGTTATATGTAGTAAAGAACCCAGACAGTGCTTTCCAAATAGATTGAGTCACCCCGTGAAAAACTCATAAAATATGTTAACTCATATTTCCAAGGATACACATTTCTACGTAACGTAACCCCTTGTCACATAAATTCATGGAACCTGGTAACGCTGATAACAGACAACATGACCGTTTAGGACACCGTTTTGAAGAGAAATATGCATTTTTCGTATCAATCATCAAGAGTGAGTCTCAAAAACTTCTTCAGGAATCTTCATCGTTAAAGTCTGTGAGACTCAGCTGGATTCTGTAGATGATTTATGTGATGAAAATACCAGGTGCTGTAGGCTACTGACACCTGATATTTTTCAGAATGTCAGGAAGGAAATAGAACCCCGTTTATTGCATCACATGCAAGTTGATAGTGTTCAGTTTGAATACTTAATTGAGTGAATTATTCCAGTTGAAAATTTTCACTCAAAATGTCAAATAACCCCACCGGTGTGGCTCATTTCAGTTGGAATACACTGTATGAGATCTTCTCTACATACTACATGATGAAATGCGTGCGATAAACATTCACATCGGTCTCGCACACTTTGTAACGAAAATTTCGTTCCATTTCTAATATTTAATATTTTGCATCGGAGTAATGCCGGGACAGTAGTCACTCCATCTTTCAATTTCGAGTGAAGACCGCTTGCGCGGAAAAAGATCGGAGAAATCGATGGATATCGAGGATTTTTGTTTCTGGGGGGGGAAGGGGGAAGGGTAGCGACCGTGAACGTGAACAGGTGTGCGGAAAAAGTGGGTAGAAGGCATTTTTCTGGTAAAAGACCTAATTATCTGATTTATCTTTTATTAATTTGTGCAGACAGTAGATTGAATTGAACTGAACGTTTAGATAACTCGTTGAGTAAATTATTTTGATTTACAGTTTCCAATTTTCGGTTTTTTTCCGAGACCACGAGGATTGAGGTTAAAATCCAAATTTCCGTTTATTTAAAGAATCATTGGAAGGAATCAAATTTCAGTGCTAATTACTTTTTAGGAAGATTCCATTGGAGAATATCGATAAGATATTTTTGGTTATTCACTGAAATTNTGTTATATTGGTAGTAGTCAGTTTCAATTTGCCTTCGACTATTACCAATCATTGTTGAAACTTACTCACACCCTCCCCGTAACAATCTGAGCAGCCTATAAGCACATAAGTGATAACTTCCATATTTTTAACTTTGAGTTTTCACCTTTGAACGTTTAAAATTTGGAGGGTTACAACTTTCGCCGTTTTGAAAATTAATTCAGCGATATATGATGATAAATATTGATTTTTCGCTATTTCTAAGTCGTAACTCATTGTTTTCCTAGTATTGTAAAATATGTCTGTCGAATTATTTTTCACTCGTTCCTTCGTTGGAAATTCCTTACAAAGAATGAATTCTCAGCCACTGTATCATTTTTCATTTGAATGTTTTGATTCGATCATAGAACGATATACATCCATCTATATTGATTCTCATCAGTCTCTGAAAATTCAAAGCTGTGAAAGTTTATATTCATATAAAAAATATCTTTATTGGGTAAATGAAAAATGTAAGAGAAAAATGTGTTTTCTCAATCTTCAGGAAATGGTGAATGGTCATCAATAGTGCAATTCATTCAATACCTGCACTTTCGATATTTTTCAGAAAGTACCTATTGAGGTAATGAGATGATGAGTCATCACGTCATGGTAATTGATTTTGGAAAAGTACCTACTCAATTTAATTTCATATAAATTGTGTGCCAGATCAGAAGGACCTCAGTTCTAATTGAGACTTATCTAACTGTTATATCAAATCAGTTGCGCATTGAGAAGTGACATATTCTTTAAAATTTGGTTTCTGCAAATAATCTGGTGCATTCATAGACCTAACAATGGCAAACCATGATGGAAACAATACTGGAGGACGACCAAAGTGCGAGATATGTTCAAAATCTTTCGCTAATAAACAAACTTTGAAAGTGCACGAGAGAATCCATACTGGAGAAAAACTGTTTCGATGTACATTTTGTCCGAAATCTTTCACACACGCTAAGACTCTGACACGTCACGAAAGGAGTCATTCTGG